TGGCATAAGCGCCTGCCTTGCAAGCAGGCGGTCGTGAGTTTGATCTCCGGTACCAATAAAAAGGAAAAAGATAAAAAAAAAAGTTCAAAATTGGATCACTAGAAACACACATTCTTAGTTGTTTTTCTTAAAATGACAGGCTCACTTTGCTAATTTTCAAGAAAATAACTGCAAATAACTTTAAATAATCATGGTTTGGTACCCCCCTTTTTAAAAGTAAAAGTGATATTTCACGAAAAATATGGCTAGTTTCACTGGCAACTCAAAAGCCATCACATAGGTGTTTTCTCTCTTGCTGAACAATACACACTGGTGATTCAGAAGTGCTTTTTGCATCTTTCCTATATCATTACACCAAATATTAAAAGAATACTTGAGTCAAGATTTAGCAAAAGTGTAACTGTTACTATTTCCTCAAAGATTTTATTGATTAGTTGATGATACTGATAACTAAACCCAGGGAGCTCTGAGCAATATATTCTCAGTCCTTTTTTTATTTTATTTTGAAATAAGGTCTCCATAAGATGCCTCAGCCTTAAACTTGCAGCTCTCCTGCCTCAGCCTCGCACATGGCTGCAATTACTGTACAAGCAATGAACTACTACACCCAGCTTCAATCAAGGTCAAGTGAAATCAGCTGTTTTGTTTTAACTGTAAATGTATGTCAGTGGAGAACACAGATGATTGCCAGTGCTACTTTATGCCACTGACATTTAATTTTTACTAAATTGCCCAACAGTTATCGCTTTTACAAATGCAGGGCAAATGTCAAGGCAAAAAGGTAAAAAGTATTACTGAAATATTTTCATGAACTTCCTACAAGGGACTCAGTAACTCCTCACAAGTCTATTCGTCTCAAACCAGGAATCATACTATCTCAAAGAAACAATGAAATCTATGAGTGATAAATTCCTCCAAAATCCAGTCAGCTGATCCAAGGTAAATATTCCCCATATATCAAATAGCTGCATAAATTAATTTTAACTCAAAATTAAATGAACACTATAAACAACAGCAACATTTAGTGAGCATGTGCACATACTATTTCATTAATCTTCCTGATAACCCTACCCTATTAGATGTTATACTACAGATGACAAAACCTGGGGTAAATATCTACCAATATTTAATAAATTCAGACACAACAAATAGTTATCTTTTACTATACTTTGTATGTTTTATCATATATGAAAATTTTGAATAGAACAGCTAATGTACCCTGTTCTGGGTGACTCAAATGAAAACTGATGGATTGTGTGTTTGTTTTTAAATCCCAATCAGTCTAACTCCAGAATATACTAATCAGTTTCATATTATTACAACAAAATACCTGGTAAGTGTACTTGTGAAGAAAAGAAGACTTACTTAGCTTAGAATTTTGGAGGTCTGTGGTGTGGGCCTTGGCAATGGTGATACTAGACGGTAGGAGGGAACACTAAAGGAAGTACTCCCATCTCAAGCAAAGAGAAAGAGGATCCCATCAGGGTCCTACAATGTCCCTTGAGGATATGCTCCCAGTGACTTAAGAATCCCACAAGGTTCTGACTCTTACAGGTCTACAGTATTGCCTGCAACCACCACATTGGAGCCTTTAAAACATCAACCTCTGGAGTTCTCTCAACATCCAAATTACAGGAATTTCATACACAGTTTGTCTCTCTACCATTCTAAGTATATAATCTGTATATCAATAGACTAATGGATATAAAGGTCTTATATAGTTTTACATCAACTAAGACCCCTATCTAGTTGCAAAGATTTTTATTTTTTTTTTTTACTAACTTCAAATGAAACAAAACATATTTCCCCTTAAAATATCAACTCACATTACTTAAATACAATAACAAATTAATACTTCTAAGATTACTTTTTCAAAAACTCAACATTGCCAAGTAATGTTATCCCCATTTTCTAGATGAGGAAACTGAAACTTACAGTACTACCCAAAGGCACACAGTTCATAAATGGTACAGATTCAAAGTCAGTCTGGATGATTGTCTCACTCAAAATCTTCGATCACACTGCATGCCTATTTAGGAAGGCCTCCAGCAATGACCTAGGAAATACTTCTGAGACCTATACACAAAATGTGTTGATACGACATGCTACACACAAAGCAACTGAGATATGAATCAGCTTGTATCATTAAAATCAAGAGATGAAAAAGAAGCTGGTGCATGCTAAAAATATAGACATGTTTTAAGATCTTCAAGGAAAGAACCTATAAATTATGTTAAAGAAGTAAATTCATTTATAAAGATGTCAGCATACATCTACGTGAACGACACAAGCTTGCCTCCATTTAAAAACAAACCACCAAAAAAGGCCCAGAAGACAAGGTCATCACAGCTACCCAGGCTCTCTACAGATTACACAATAGCTTTCAAATACCAGGAGACCAGGAATGCTGCAAATCTTAAGTCAACTTTAGCAGAAATCTTTTTCATCAACCATATCAGTAAAATTTACATTCACAATGGCATCTAAAAATGTCAGGGATTATGTCCTGACGTTTGTCTCTCCTTTAAGGATTCATCCTGCAAAGATGGCTGATTAATGTTACATCCTAAGGAAGTCAAGGTGGAAGGAATCACGATTTATCCAGCTCAATTTTTAGCCTTACAACAGGCTAAAAATCAACTTTTTAAACAACTTTTTAAACAATTTAGAAGTTTAAACAACTTGAGATTAATCAGAGATTAATCTCAATCAAAAGAGATTAATTTCAATCAAATCATATTCTCAGAGTTCCCACATACATTTTGACAGGAAGGTGACAAAATGGAAGACTGTGGTATACCACCTAAAGTGGGCAAGTTACACAGGGCCAGCAGAGAGATGCAATTAACTCTTCACAGAATACCACCTTGGATCCTTCCTTCTGTGACAAAGGGGAAAAAAACTGCAGAGCAACTTTGCTTCCTCCCATCAATTAATTCCTGGCATGATCAAAGGAATCACAATCTAGTACCATAAAAGCAGCTGACAGATATATAAAAAGAAAAAAATCAAAATTGAGGTCACATCTTACAACATGCATCATTTACACTAAGAATTCCCCCACTTATCTGAATTAATTTCATGTAACTCACTTCATTCAGATACTGTAATTGAAGTCTTCCTGTTAAAGTTGTAAAGTGTTTACTCAACATAATTAGTTAACTGTTCACTTAAAAATACCACTACAAAAATTATCACTCTTTCCCCTCTACATGTACTACACAATCTTTAAGTATGAAATTTTGGTCTTCACGGGAAATTTAGTTCAAAAATCCTCTTTAAAAAATTAGTATAAGAAATTCCACAAGAAAAAGTTATGGTCATTACCTTTTTAATACAAAGTGTTTGTATTTCTTGCTAAAGACATGGTAATTTGGGTATTCAATACATGACTACTGTTCTGAAACCAAATTAAAGGTTTAGACTACTAAAGAGTTTGATGACTTGTCTCAATATAACAACTAAGATTGTATGGAGAACAAAATCAAAAAGGTCTCTTTTTATGAGCAGGCATTTAAGGGCCTTTTAATGAGAATTTACTCTTTAGTATATAATTACTAATGAGCAAAAATAGGGCCATTAAACTGACTTCTTTATAGTGCCATAAAACTTCTATGAGTAAGAAATATAAAATAATATATACATTCAAAAAACTTGAGAAAAATTAAAATGTATAATGCCTAATAATTCAATATAGTGACATTTGTATACACTGTCTTAAATAAATGTTCTGCCAGATGACTGAAGCCATTTTACGTCAATTTGCTTATATTTTAAAATGTACATACGCCCTAATACTAATGATTACCTCAATTTCTTGAATGAATTCTGAATTCATCTATGAATAAGTTTCCCACAGACAGAACTTATTAGAATGAAATTATATAATCTATATTTATCATGTGCTATGTGCCAAGCATTATCTGAATGCTGTGAATAATACAAAGATCAGGACAAATTCAGTACTATTCTTGGGGTACACATAGTCTGGAAAGAAAGACAGGAAATTATCGTGGTACAGGAATATATAATGACACCTGACAAAATGAAAACTCAAAACTTAAAGAAGAGCAGAAGATCACATACAGTATTTGAAAATAACTAGCTACCAGTGAAATGAAACAAAAATCATCTGTTAAATGTTTCTCCACTAAGAAAGTAGCAAAGAAACTAACCCATGGATAGTCAAGGAAAGCATTCTAAATCAGACCAGATGCATCCAGCTTGTCCTCTAGTCCTTAATTCAAATGAAATGTTCCCCCTCAAAAAGAATTCAAATGCCCAGCTCTCAGGGTCTTAAGAAGTCAGTCTGGTGAGTTTGAATGTAAGGGACAGTACAACAGTGTCTCGGTTCTGAAAGACCTCTATCATGTACCTATCAGGAATAAGACATCTCCCCTTGGAGGCCACACCAAGGAGTGTGGCCAAGGGAAGAAGCTGGTCAGTCCGCTTATAGGGCTTAAGCAGACTTAAGGTTCCATTTCCACCAAAGACCTGGATTAGAAAAAGAAACCACAGAAGAACTTTATCTATGGACTATTTAGCACTTACTAAAGGACTGTGGAATTTCTCCTCTGGATACTTTTGAAAATAAGCACTCCAAAAATAATTATATATTTAAGTAACATGTGTGGCCCTACTGAGTATGAGTAAAAGGACTAAATACCTATAGTCTGAAACCATATCCTACATTCATCTGTAACTATACTGAAATACTCTAATTGCCTCACACATACTTTGTTAAAGGCATATACTTACATAATCACTGATGAGAAACATGTTTAAAATTAAAATCTCACAGGTAAACTGAGTATCTGCCAAGGATGTGCTGTGACACCGTACCTCTGTGCAGTGGATGCTCAGAGCACCAGAATCAGTGCACATCACTCCTTCTGCAAGAGACTGGAGTAGAAACTGGAAACTTCTTAATGCAAATTTGGTCTAGAGGAAAGATGATGTGAGATAACCGCTTCATATGAACATCATCCTAATTTACTTACTGTACATTTGTTTTCAGTAATAGTCTCAGCAGGAAAAAAAGAACTCCAAAGATGTCCCCATAAAGGCTATACATAGTATAACCATAGTGTGGTACACACAGTCTAGAAAGAAAGACAGGAAATTACCATAGTACAGGAACATATAATGACACCTGACCAAATGAAAATTCACACCACTCCCCGTGTTCACGTAAGAATCACTATGGAACTGGACCTGCATTTGCTAGGCCCAGTTTAGCAACACTCTTCAAATGATAAAGTAGCTGTACTTTCCAAAAAAATGCTTGAAATTTTTCTTCAGTTTTTTTTTTTTTTTCTAAATAAACACAACCCTGCAAGCTACTAAAGAAAGAAGAGGTAAGAATAAGCCTAACAGAAAGAAAATCCACTGTTTTACCTTTTAATTGTCACCAAAATGAACTATACCATTATCATTTTAAAACTGTTTAAAACATCATTTCACGATAACTGGCCAAAAACAGTCTGAACTCGAAAAGTTACACTCCTTACAAAGGACGACATGCAACAAAAAACAAAAAAAAAAATCAATGCTTATAAAATGAAACCAACGCTCTAAAAACACAGTATATGCCTGTAATCCTGCCACTCTGAAAGACTAAGGGAGAATCACAAGTTAGCCCCACTTGGACAACTTAGTGACTTAGCTTAGAGACTCAGTAACTGTCTCAAAATAAAGGGCTGGGAATACAGCTCAGTGAAAAGGCTCTAGGTTCAGTTCCCAGTTACACACACACAAAAAAAAGTGGCCTATAATAACAATTGAGGGTCATTCAAATCACTGTTATCAAAGTTTGTTTCAGTAGAAACTTTGTACTGTTCTCCACTGAATTTAAATAATGATGTCCTTTCCCAATGTCATAGTGACTAACAAATGTTAGAGAACAAAATTCATGTTAAGTTTCTTCTCCCAACTTTTTAAAAAGTATCTGTTATCTGTTCTGTTTTAATAGTAGAATTATGCCTATCGGTATCTAGTTGAACATAAAAAGAACACATGCTATTTCAAGTTAACTACATCATGATTCAAGACTTTCTGGCACTCTGCTACCAGAAAGACCACAAGCATTTACAGAGTGCCCACTACAATGGGCATATATAGATTAATAAAATATGTCCCATTGTTTGTGAAGTCCCTACCAACAAATGAGCAACAAGGATTACTAAATGCCTAAACACAACGCTGTTCCATAGAAGATGCAAAAAGTTAACTCCATCCCAGATTAAGACTTCAGGGCTCCTACATTTAAGGATGAACAAAAAAAAAGTGATGTTGGAGATGCTAGAATTGAATTACTTAGTACATGTGTCCCAGAAACTAAATTACACACACAACTCAAAGAAATACTTTAAGAAACGGTTTTAAAATACCAACCTAGGAATAACATATACTACAGTCCCTTAAGAATATGAACGATTCTTTAAGCAAAATACAGTAACTAAATTCAAACTAAACTAGAAAGCAATCTTGTATTTCAATGGATAGAATGTAAATATTTCCTAATTATAAATAACTTGTGTCATTTTTTAATGTAGGGGAAAAATACACTAACCACACTAATTAAAGAGGAAGAGGAGATATTTACAAATTGATCGGGCTGGGGATACAGCTCAGTGGCACAGCATCTGCCAAGCACAAGGTCATGCGTTCTAACCCTCATACAAAAAAAAAAAAAAAAAAAAAAAAAAACAGCTAACATGATCAAGGGAACTGGGGATACAGCCCAGTGGTAAATAACACGCTAAGGCCCTAAATTTCGTTCTCAGCACCAAAAAAAAAAAAAAAAAAAAAAAAATTAAGAAGTACAAAAACGTATGACAAACTTTGCTACAAGAATATCCGCGGGTATGGCTTGAATTACCTAGTGAAGTGCTTAAGACTACTAGTTTTGTCAGCTATCTTCAGGAAATTGTTTTTGATTCTTAATTTCTCTGAAAATTAGGAAGGGCTGAATTACACTCCAAAGGCCCCATACAAATGAAACACTGTACTGTAGTGGTTCATAGGACTAAAATGTCAATGATTTCAAAATTGTAAAGATGCCACCTTAACTTCTCACGTTGATATTGCTATAAATGCACGATTTTCCACTTTATCTCAGTATGATGCTTCAGATATCACCCATTCGCTGTTTTCAAGTTTGTCAAAGTAAATTTCATGATTCAAAAGATACTCCCCTCCAACCCTCAATTGTAAACAGTGTTTCACTCTTAAGAAACCTGTAAAAGAGTGGGAACTGAGAGGACTTTATTTCACATCGGACCTAGAACGCACTAATTAAAATTCGATTTTGAACTCGGTGTGTGGTTCCTACATGAAATTCCTGTCACACTTAAAAGTTTACGGTCAAACAGGTTAATAGAATGCAATAAAATGGCTTTGCAGATCATTCAGAACTCATTTCAGCAGCTCCTTTACTTAAACACTATGTTAAGGTTTAGACCTTAGAATTATCTTAGGAGTAGCACGGAACAATCAAGGTAAGCCCTAGCGTATGGGACTACAAATTGAAATGTAGTTTATGTGGAAAATCACCTTCAACTCACCATTTCCATTTCACACTACGATACAGTTGAAGGAAAAAACGTAAAGGCTTCCCTTTGAAGATGCTATCACGAGGTCTCGAGGTACTAAACCTAAGATACTCCAATTAGCACAGCTCTGAGAAGATTAAAAGTTGCATTTGCAGGGAGAGAAGGCAACCTCCGGGCCAAAGGTTTTCTCAAAGTACCATCGAAACTTCACTGCTGGGAATAGTCATAGATCTACCAGACTTAAATTCAGACAACCTTTTCACCCGAAAAGACGGTCAATGTGAACCCCGCTGCGCCGAATCCGGGGGGTGTGGGGGAGGCACCTTGAGGTCCTCCGCCTCGGCTGGCAGGGGGAGCGAAGCGCTGGGGAGCTCGCGAACGAGGCCGGCCGCAGGCCTGACGCTAGGGGTTCCCTCGGGAAAGCCCCAGGTTGGCGCCGCAAGGGGCCCGGCCCGCCAGCCCACGCGTCGAGGCCGGGTGTGCCGAGCCCCGCCCGGCTCCGCGCCCGAGCGACCGCCCCCATCACCCACCCTCGCGGGCCGGCGAAAGGAAGCGCACGCCGGGGCCCACGCCACGTGGACGCCAGGTCCACCACACTAGAAACCGGGCAGTTTACGCGGGAACCGGCCCGCAGCCCCAGGAACTCCGGGGTCCGCTCGCCACCGGCGCGGGGCCGCGCAGGGAGCGCAACGCGTGCGCCGGGAGCGCGCGGCCGGCCCTCGACTCCGCCCTCCCTCCCACCTCCGCTCCTCGCGCTGCAGCCACGGCCGCCCCGCTGGGAACTCCGCGCCGCGCGGCCCCGCGAGGAGGGCGCCGGGAGGGGAGGGGCCGCGCTCCCGCCTCCCCGCCTCTCAGCCGACCCGCGCAGCTCCCAGCCCAGGGCCTGCTCACCTCCTCCTCCTCCTCCGCCTCCTCCTCCTCCTGGTGTCTCCCTCCTGGCCACCGGCGCGGCCCAGCCGGCGACGCGCTGACGCCGCGCCCCTCCCCCGTGGCCGCCACCGATGCCACCGCCCCTCCCGGCCCTCGGCAGCCGCGGCCTCCAGGCGCGTCAGGCCGAGGCCCCGCCTATGGCCCGCCCACGTGCCCTAGGCCCCGCCCCCACGGCGGCCGGGACTGCGGCGAGGGCTCCCTGACTCAGCGGCGGCCCCGCCCGCGCGATCTGGGGCCCCGCGCCGAGCCGGCTCCTCACACCTGCCTCCTACTCGCAGGCCATGCTCCGCTTCCCGCCGACCCGCGCGCTCTTTCCCATCACGTCAGCAGCCCCGTGCGCCCCGTCAGCTTTGCCGTACTCTGGGCCAGGTCTCCGCTCGCGTTGGCGCCGTGGGTTTCTTAACTGGAAGGACAACACAGTTCACTAGGTCGGCCTCGGTTTCCTCAGCCGCCTGTCTGCGGGCGCCCAGCGCTCCCCTCTCCCGGCCAGCCGAGCTTCGGGACCGCGCAGAGCGCGAGCTCCTCGCCGCCTGCTGTGCCGCGCGGCCTTGCTGCTCTGGCTCGGGATCCCTCTAGGATCCCAGCCCGCAGACTCCGGTTTTCGGTTCCCGCTGCTCTACACACAGCAGGAGCTGCTTGTTCACGGCCCCACTTACCTTGAAGTCACCCTAAGTAGTTAAAAACTACAGAGCAAGGAGATGGCAGTGGGGATCGTCTTGTGCGTAGCCCCATCTATACAGTACTTTATGTTGACCGCTTCAATTCCAAGAAACGGTATTTTCTATTGCGGCTTAAAGATTCACAAATTTTAGTGGCATGTTTTGCTTTGCTTTTTGTTGTTGTTGTTGTTTGTTTGAGGTTTTTTTTGCCCTGCGACGTAACCCCACTTAGGCGCTTTTATTTATAAAATACAACCTAGAAAGCATCCGGAACCCTTATTTCTTTCATGTCGTTACCTATAAAATGAGAAATTTGTCTTTTCGTCCTTTAAATTCCTGTGATTCTGACTTTTTAGGTTTTTATTTTTGGAGGGAGATTGTGGGTTAAATGATTATGGAAAAAGCCAAGCATGCAATTGTAACTGAATATCTGGTTTATTTAGAAACTTCATATTTAAAAGTACAACTTGAAAGAGGCTGTTACTCGAAAATGAGCAAAGCATAGCAAAATAAAGGAAAATGATTAGGCCTTTGGAGTTACTTCCACAAGTTGCTTTAAGTTATGTGAGTAAACATTATTATCCTTAAATTGAATAGTTAGACCTATCTTTTATTATGAATAAAATCCACAACTATATGGAACTTCAAAGTTTAAAACCATTGTTGAATTGAACAACAGTATTACAAGCATTTGAAAGCCTAATAAACCATCTGTCCATCCACTTTCACACAAATTGGGAAACAGAAAAGAGTAAATGCCAAAAGCTGCGAGTGAGAATTTCTAACTGCATCTGAAACTAGTAAATCCTATTTCATAGAACAAAGTATCTGAAAAACCCCAAGTTGTGCGCCTGCCATTTCATTGCTTTGGAAATACAATCATACAGTTTTATAATTGAATTATCTAATACATAAAATCATCTGGAGTCTAAACTTTTCACTTTACTGATTAAGATCTAAAACCCAGAGAAGGTAAGTTGCCTACCCAGTATCACTCAGCTTAACTGGAAAAAAGTCAGGATTCAAACATAGACCTGTCTCACACACTTCTCAACATTAAGCTTACAGTTAACACATACATAAATTTTTAATATCAGAATTCTTGGTCTTTAAAGCTTTGCCTACATTATCCATGTGATATATGAAATCAAACTTAGCATTAGCTAGGAAAGTATTGCTTTCAAAGGCCATTTGTCCCACTATTTTCAAGGATTCATATTGTGCAATGTCTCTCTCTCTCAGTCAGGGATCATCTGCATGATCCAAGCAATTATGGCGAGAGCTTGGGAGCCTTGGTTCAACCAAACACATTCATCCTCAGAGATGCCAAGGGCTGTGCCTGATTGTAAGAATTATGAAATTCCTTTTTCCAAAAAATTGCAACCTTATTGGGAAGGTAAAATATGAAGCACAAAATGATAATTCCACATTAATAATCAAGTATTCAGTTGTAATTTCCAAATGATAAATTGGAAAATAATCCATAGAAATTAAAAAAAATGTTAAAAGTCACAACAATAACACAAAGAAATTATTGGTGTATGTAGGAAAAGGTAAAACAAATTTTGTGAACAAAGGCACTAAGAAGAAAATGAAGGAAAGTGAAGAGAACAGCAAACTTAAATAGATTCATTTGAGAAACGATAGCAAAGCAAGACAAAATGAGAAAGAATAGAATCATCAGTAGAGAACCTGAATGTGAGCCTGAGAAATTTAGTTTTATAGAAAATCATTCTGGGTGGACTTGGCTGGAAGAGGGGAAAGAAAGGACAAAATTAAGAGACCATAACCTTGTCAGGTTTAAAAGAATTGTTGGATTTTTAAAAGAATTGTTGGACATAAATGCCACTGAAGAAAAGAGTTGGATCCAGTAATTTATTCAGGGATCAAGAAAAATAAGTCTGAGTAAAATGTCTTAAGATTGGGGCATGAGTCAATACCAGTAACATGGTTCCTAATATCTTAAAAAGGGGAAGATGATCGCTCACAGGGACAGCTTCTAAATGCACCGGGCGCAGACATCTTCCAAAGGGAGGTCTTCTTCATCGCACCCTCAAAATGGTAGTTTGCTACTAAAGTAGAACCAGAAAGTTAAAAAGAAAAGTCACCCGATCACTGGCCAATGAGTCTTTGCTGCTGATTTATAGGTTATTTTTATTTTTATTCCAGTCAGTGATGTAAAATGCTCACTGGTAAAGTACATGTTATACTGGAAAATATCATTAAGGGCTTCATAAATACAGAGTAAATGCTACTCAAAACTCTATGGGCATGGAAGACAATAAAACATAAAAGTATAAATAAGGCCTTTCATTTAGAAGCAATCTAGAGCAAAAAGTCAATGCTTTTTGTTTTTCTTTTTAACAAAATAGAAAATAATTTCTATGCCCAATGAGAAAAACTTCTTGGACTATAAAGTATGTTTCACAAAAATAATGAAGAATGTAGTTGAATGAATTAGTAGTGATACAATTCATAGGGTTTACCAATTCAATAAACATTTAATGATTAAGCATTAGTCTACATAGTAGAGGTAAAGGAATTAA